GAGCAAGAATAATACAGACAAACCTTCTGCCAATCCATAACACACATCATTTGGAGTCCACTAGCCAATGCAGTCCTTCTTCCCAGCAGAAGAAGCAGCATTTCTATCAGTATTTGGTCTTTGGAGTTCTGACCAGAGTGTCCCATCAAGTACAGGTCAGGCCTTCCAGTTTTGCTTTTCTAGCCAGCGTCTCCAAACCTTTCCTAACTCTTCACCTTCCCACAAGCCAGCTGCATAGATCCCTAAACCACATGGTCAGGTACAGTCACAGCAGTGACCTGACTTCTCTGGTACCAACATTATATTTATTTTCTTTGACAAAAATTTCTAAGTATCTTTGTTGACTATCTATGCTAGATCTATCATGTGGCTCATCCATTGTTCACAGAGTCAATCTCTAATGTTTGGTAAATTTAAACAAAAACTGCAAATAATGATTTGCTAGAGATACGTTAATACCTGTTTGCTATGAAACTGTTATTTTACCCACGCTACTAATGAGTAATAATAGCTATATCAGACTCACAGATGAGTTCCTATTACAAATATTAATAAATGATTAACTTCTCTAGAAAGTTCTTGGGACCACATCATACAGGAGAAAGATGTAATCTTATATATCTTGAAATCTTACCTCATCCAGTATGGCAAACTTTCCAATGACTATTCCACAAGTATTTGTAGTATGTTTACTCTGTGTAAGTTTATATGCATATATATATTTTTTTATATGTGTGTGGGGGGCTGTTTATATATATACTCATATATATCTCTTCAGTTTATTTGCTTCTTTTGGTCACCAGACTCAGGACCAGCTGGCCTTACGAAATCGGTACATTCAAAACTAAACTCATTATCTTTCTCAAGTAAATTTCATTCTTTTCTATTTCCTATATGATGAAGGGTAAGGTATGAGTTGTATATACTACACTTGTCACCCAAAATATATTCCTAAGAGATAGGAAAGTAGAGTCATCATAGATTTTTTTATCCTCCCCCTCTTCAGCAGTCAATCAAGTTCAATATTTCCTACCTCTTTAATATCATTGATAAGTCCTTCTAACTCTACATACCCATTTCTTTTGCCTTATTTTGGCCCTCATAATATTTCATGTAGACTTTAGCTATAATCTCTTCATCATCTCTTTTGTAGATTGGTTCCTTTCATTACCTACTTATATTCCACCTAGTCCAACAAATCTAAATATTTTCAATAGCTCTTCAAAATCTGCAAAAAAATATCAATTCTCTTCCTTTAGCCACCAAACCATATTTCTTCACAGTACCTAAAACATAAGTCTGCATCTTTGGAGGTATTTGGAAAACTCTTGTCACTCCCAGTCTGGGAGATCTGTCCTGACTATCAGTTTGGGATTCAATCATGTGTTGTTTTGCATGCCTTCACATTTGTTTCCATCCTAGTGGATTTGATCAAAGGTCCATGCTTACAAAAGTCTTTCTGTTGGAGAGATTAGAATCCCATTCCGGGTCTTTTGCTTGGACTAAGGGTAAGGAAGTCAAATCGTGTGCTGAGATGCTTTACAGATGTCTGTGTAAGGGTACAAAAAAAAAAATCATTTACAAAGGGAAAGAACTAAAGCTGATGTAGGCAGAATAGCAAGAGGAGAGTATGTATGGCCCCAGAGAAGGAGTGGCTGTCTTGGTTATACAGTACCAGCATTCTGGCTCTTGAGTTTCACAAGGTATCTTTGTATTATTAGAAAAAAAAATGTTACCTTTTATATCATCATTATTATTATTATCATTATTATTATTATTATCATTATTAAATTAGCTCAGGAAAGTTTCTGTAATTTGTAGTCAAAAGATACACTTGTGTATCTTGCATTACTCAGCCATAACATTTCTCTAAAGAGTATCCCATTTACAAATACCAAATATTACCCTTTCCTGGATCCTCATTTGTGCTTTTTAATACCTGCACCTTACCTGCACCACTTTCTTTCTCTTTCTCTCACCTGCCATCTTATACCAATATGTGAACAACTTAAGAACAAAGGAAATGTCTTACATATGTTTCTATCTCTCTAGCATCCACTACAGTGCAAGATACATAAAAGTTTAACATGTTTCCCTCATCAGAGATTGAATTTAACTTCAATAAATATTATGTTTGGCCCATGTAAAGAACTATTTTAGTGTGTGTATGTGTGTGTGTGTGTGTATGTGTGTCAAAAAATATTAATTTCTTTTCTGATGATAAAGATTTTAAGAGCATTTCCTAATATTATCCAGTATATTCATTTCCTCCATGCTTTACTTGACTAAAACATCAGAATTGACTATTTATTATGCTGATATTTCTATAAGTTTTGTGAAGGAGCCCATGCAAACATTACAGAAAGCAGTCTGGTTAGCAAAGAGGAAGACAGAATTATAAGGTAATATTTGTCTCCACAACATCACCAAAACCGTACTTCCCAAAATCATTAATGACCTTTTTATTAGATCAAGTGTATAGTTGACCTTTATCTACAATTTCACATTGTTAGCTAGTTCCTTCTTGAAATTTCTTACTTGCTTGTTAGGACTTGTCTTTTTTTTTTCTTAACCATTGACTAGCCTTCATCTCCTTTTTATGCCAGTCTTGCTCAACCCTGCTCAACTGTTATCTTTGATATCTGTTATGTTTTAGATCTAAAATGTCCCCCACAGTTCTCATGTGGGTGGAAGGTGACTGAATCATAGGGTGCTATACTCAGCGGGATTCATTCACTGATAAGTTCAGTATCTGAATGTGCTGTCAGGCAGTGGAGTCTGTTTGGAGGTGGGTCTCTAGAGGTGTGACTGGAACGGTACACTCCTTGTCCTTGGGTACACCCTTATCCTGGGCTCCTCTCTGTGTTCTCTGCTTCCTGGCTTCTTTAAATTGAGCACCTTTTCCTCTACCACACCACCCCTCTACCATGCCATTTCTGCCTTACAGCCAGCTGAGCATGGACTGAAACCATGACATAAAATGAAGCTCTCCATTACACTGTAGGTGTTGAATATTTTGTCTCTTAAAGGAAAGTAAGACAGTATCTTTTATTTTACTGTCTTCCGGACTACTTTTTATTTCTACCCATGGCTTTTAACTACTTATGTACCATGTTGACTCCTAAATCATCACTCTGGTCAGGTTTCATCTCTAAGGTTGATAGTTAGACACTTCATTCCATTATTCCAAATTTAAACCCAATATATTCAAAACCACACATTTTATCTTTATTCCCTCCCCCTCAAAAAAAGTACAACTAAACCAAACTCAGGCTCTCATCATTTCATCTCCCCACCGCACCCCTCAGGTTTGAGACAGGGTATCACTCTGTACTTCAGGCTAGCCTGAACTCACTATGTAGCCCAGGCTGGCTTCGAACTCTCAGCAATCCTCCCACCTCAGCCACAGCCCCCCAAGTACTGAGATTACAGGCATATGCCACCACACCCAGCCTCTTCTTGAACCATCCAGAGGTGATTATGCTACACATGTGTGTGAAATCTTCCTGTCATTCCGCTACCATCAACTATATGCAATCATCAAACTTTTTAAATAACTTTAATATCTCTATTTCTTAGCACTTGTTTCAATATATGATTTATAAGTAATATAGTAATAATTCTCCATAATTGGCAGAATGATGATTCCAGATAGCAATCACTGAATTTCAATGTCCATCTTAGCCAATGATACCCATACAAAGTGATACTGAGGGGTCTGGGAAACAAGTGGGAGAAAGGCTGAATTAGATGAGAAAGAAAATGTTTCTAGACTATCTTCTTAGTGTCATCTCTACTACTCCACCAAATAAGTGTCCAAATTTTGTTACAACATTTGTTTAATCCCTTAGTAAAAATGTTTTACTGGACATTTTCCATCTGTTAAGCTTCCTGAAAGCAAAGAAACTGCCTTGTCATAGCTAGACCACATGTTGATAGAGCTTATACTAGGCAAACCAGTCCCAAATCTATCAGGATGGTCTGGGAAAATGAGATAGGAAAGTTTTACTTCAACTGAGCAAAACAAACAAAAATTATGATCCATTTGTACTTAATAGGGTAAGGAAAATGTACACATTATAAATCATTGTTCTGTTGAACACTACTAACAGTCAAATAAAACGGGGTTGAAATTATTGGCTAAAATGCATTTGGGGTGTTTGTAGCTATAAAACTTCCAGAGGTGGAATAGAGAACAATCTGGACCCAAGTATCTGCATTATTTGGGAATTCTATTTGTTTTTGCTTTCCTTACAAAAGCAGATGCAGGATTAAGAGTTATCTGCTATCTGGTCATTATTGTTTTCTATTACCATAAACTAAATAAAATGATTCTTTTCCCCGAAATATCCTGGAGAAGTTGCTGAAAGATTCATGAGTATTAGCTCTGTCTTCAATACTCTAAGACATCGTGCAGATCTCTGCTCGAGTAGGGTCTTCAGTTGGCTGCAAACGCAGAGAATTACACTAAAGAAGCTCTAGTGTCCCTTCCAGACCCAACAATCTGATAAGTATTCACTGCAGTTTCTCCTGCATGAGGACATGAAGTGAGTCCAGCTCTGGTGCTCCTACGTGGCTGTGATACCTGTGAAACTCTGCCTTCGTTTAAGTGATGAGACCCAAGAGTGGCCTCGAGTAAGTTCACCGCAGAGCAGGAGCGGGGCTGTGCCTCTTCCCAAAGGAACAACCCACCCTGCTTCTGAAGAGAACTTGCTTCACGTCATCCGCACATCTGAAGGAGCGAATGCTCAGAAAACACTACAGAAATCTTCACTGGGGTTAAAGACGCGAAATAAGGTTCCACGCCAGCATTGAGGTCTATTGGAGAAAAGCTTTCGAAAAAGAGGCGTCTCCACAGCTCAAGTCTCCACTATCTCTTGTTCTTCCCTCCGCCTTGAAACCAAGTTAGTGTTGGGATGACTACTCCTCTTAACCTGACCCAAAGGCCCGGTGAACACAAGTACAAACTGCCAAATTAGAAACCGGTCCGCCTCACTCACTTCAGGTGCGTGCGAGCCGGACATAGAGTCAAGGACCTCGGGGCGCGCCTCTCG